TTTAGGGAGGAGAACAAAAGCACTGGGAGCTAAATCTGTTAAAGCAGGTCGCAGATGACAATAATGTTAGTGTTATATTAGCTTCCAGAGTTTCTGGAAATCTTCCCTCAGATGCCCCAAATGTAGAATGTTACTGGAACTTTAACCCTTTCTCCTTGAACGCCTACAAGGAGTAACCTGTGATGCTCTTTTCTGAACTGAGTGGTTTCCAACATATTTCAGATCTGCTTATAGAAAAAAATATCTGTGTTTGCATCAGAGGTTAGTGAGGGTGGTCTTACAAAAACCTGTTCTAATGGTCATCAAGCCATTGATATATACTGAGATGTCAAAACTCATTATTAATCATACAGAGGACAAATATGTCGATGACCATAAACACTTTTTGTTTGGTCTCTGGACCGTGTGGGACGCAGCTCTTATAACCAGTAACGATGCTTCACATTAAAGTTGTGTCAAGCTTCAATCACAAGTCAGGATTTCCAGTGGGGTCAGAATGAGTCGTGTAAGGAGTGATCCAATTGTAACTCAGTGCAGTGGGTTGCAAAGAGGCTATTTGAAGGGAGCATTAAATCTGTGTTGGGTTCATCACAGCTAATAGTTGCTTTAGTGCAGTCACAGAAAGTGTATGTAAATATATTTTGATTTGCAGTAGTGCATCAAATGAAATGGTTGACAGCCAGTTTACCTGTTTAGTATCATCACAACAACACACAGTACTAATCTTTCCATCCAGCATCAGCTCTTTGTGTTGCATTTGCCTGAGCTGGCATGAAAGAAGCCTGATGTCTCTCAGTGCTCGTTGTCATGGTGAGCTGCTTTGGCAGCACTGCTAGTGTATATTTATGTGTACTTAATGTTAACAGGAAGACAAAGTAGTGTACTCAAATAATAACAGATATTGCAAGTAAAGAAGATAAATAGTGATATTTATTAACCCTGCGATGCCAAGTGTGTCATACTTGATAGGTGAATACTTACTTGATACTTTTTGTGACACTTTGAGAACGCTACATTGTCAGCACAATAACATTTTAAGCAAAAACTGAATGAAAATGATGGATGTAGTAAAAAAATGGTTACAAATTAAAGGTCATAATTGTTCATTGTAAATTGATGCATTTTAATTGTAAAATGCATCAAAATATCAGCCCAATAAGTCTCATGTACATAGAGTTAAATGTGACTCAGTCCTCATCTACCTCATATTGTAGATATAATCATGCATTTGAGACTCAGCTGGAAGTTATCTGATCTATTTGTAAATTATAAATGAGGCAAATTTTTGTTTTTCTCATGAACACCGTTTGTGTATATTTTTTTTCTTAATTCAGTAATTGAAATTGAAATCCACTTATTAAAACTTTTTGTTACATTTACCCTTTTAAAAACCTTTAAATATAAAAAATGTGGCAAATATTATATTTTTAGTTTTTTAGATTTTTCTGCATTTTGATCGGTGACACTGACTGTGAGAGGTTTTCGAGTGATTTCCAGCACATTTGGTTACGACGTGTGCCGAATAAACATGTGAGGAAAGATCAGCTGTGGTTGTAGATTTCATTGCGCTTTGGTTTAAACAAACTTCTGGTTTTAGCTGACGAGGTGTACAGGTATTCATGGTCGTCATGGGACCAATCCTGCATTTTTCCTTTGGCCTATTTCGTTATGTTTGTTTGTTTTTGTTTTTTTTAAATCGGCACCTCTGTGTTCAGGACATTGTAAGTCATGGTCATAGCATGAAATATGCTAAGAATGCAGGATCTGGGACGATGAGATCGGAGTAAAATCTTTCCTCCTGTGATGGTGTTACAGATGTAATCTTCTTTAGATCCTGTCTTGCTCCTCTTGTCTCAGCATCAGTCTGTTTGATGTGTGGATACTCCTACACTGTGCTGACAGTGTTCTTCGTCACCAGATGTGACCTACTGGCCTTTCTACCATTGCCATGAGATCCACTGACATGTTACTCAGAGCACCTGACTAGCATTTGGGAAATGCTACTTTGTAATAACAGTGAATCTCACGGAGCATATTTGTTTTTTTGTGCATGTTTAATTTCTGATTAGACTTTGAATAGATTTATATCAGGATTCCCTGAAAATCTCTTGCTAAAGAGACACATACAGGTCTTAAACACACAAACACACTGCTCCCTTCATCCTCCTCTGTCCTCCCCTCCTGTTCTCTTCCCTCAGGCAGATACCATCAAAGATCTGTCACGTCGGCACCTGGTCTTACACAAGTGTTAATGTCCCCACCTCAGCTGAGAATCACCGGACCGCACTGACGCCAGGCTGAAGTGTGCCTCTGTGATTCGCTGTATTTTAGCTTTAAATGTATTTAAAGAGATCAGAAGTCTACTAAAGCTTTCACAGTTTTCAGAAAGAAGGAGGTTTAAGCAGCATTGTGTTTAAATATCCGTGTGCGGCGCGTATATAACAGGCAGCGTTCCATCTCCTGCCGCTCGGACACAACAAGCCAATCATTCCTGAGTTCTAAAATAAGCTCCCCCCCCCGCCATCCTCTTGCTCTCCCTTCACATGTGCTCCTCTCGTCAGCACCTCTCACCTTCAGAGTGACAGGAGACAACTGATGAGGAGCTGAGGAGGAAATGGGCGACATCAAGAGGGAGTCAGCAAACTTTGAAAGGGGAGAAATGGATCCGAGTAAATCAGTTTTAAATGGGCAGATTACCTTCTGTCTATCACAGCTCGCTACTAAAGAGGCTATTGTAGTTGTTGGCCACATGATTGTTACTAGGGGTGGGGTAAAAAATCGATACTGTGTAGCATGGTGATATTTTGTTTGCTAATAATGTATCGATACAGGGACAGCAGAAATCGATATTTTGTTACAAAAAAAGTTTTTGTGGAATGGCACATGCTCTGAGCATATGATCAGCTCCTTTTTCTGAGCAAGAATCCTGACATTCCTTCACTGTCCAAATGTGTTTAACTTGTTTTTGGCAGCAATAAACATGACAGTTTACTTATTTTAATTTAAGACATGTTTTATTTTAATTAAGTTTAAAACTTTTTTATTTAATGTAAAATTATATTTTGTTTTAATTTACTTTCAAATTCTTCAGTTGCTGAAGGGGCTGCATAGTTTTCATAAACTGCATAGTTCAGAATAGCTATAATTGTACCAGATGGTTGCGTTCAGTTAAGTTGGACTAGACTGTGATACAAACCGTTCAGTTTGTCAACAATAAAACTGAAATGAGAGAAAGACTGAGTGTGAGACTTTGATATTAGATAAAATGAATATTGATAAAGTTTACCTTTATGTACAGAATCTGAATATCGCAAAATATTTTAAAAAATTGCAATAATATCGTATCGTGAGCTAAGTATTGTGATAATATCGTATCGTGGGATGTATGGTGATTCCCACCTCTAATTGTTACTGTGATTTGCTGCGAGCTCAGACAGTATGCAATAAATTATTGGACTTTGTAGTTACAAATACCACCAAATTTGTATTGTACCTTGACTGCATTCTGAATGTTTCTCCATCCTCCATTGATCAGTGTTTCCTAACTGTGTGTTTGCTCTCTATTCTAGGAGCCAGTGCAAATAATTTCATTGTGTAGTTATGTCTTAAAGACACAATGCAAGTTTCCCATTTTGGGGCAGCTGCTACAGTTTCTGATGTTTGTGTAGCTTTAGTACGGACAGAGCCTCTCAGTATTAAGATGAGCTTAAGATAGCTGCAGATGTAGCTCTCTTCTCACATGAAACCCTGCTTCGTCTGGCTTTCTTGGGAACTCTACTTTTTCGGGTGTTAGAGTACATAGAAGACTCAAAATCTTGGCTTGTGCTTTCATACACACATAACTTTGTGTGTGCATATATATATGTGTGTGTGGGGGAGAGGATGGGGGTGTCAATTCTCTGGGATCCACATGAACTTTGAGACTGTGAGGTCACACACTCGCTGACAACTCAACCACCTGTTGCCCCCCCCCACACACACGCATGCACGCACACACAAGTGTGCACAGGGACACACATATCCACATCCTTACACCCACGTCCACATTCATAGCACACCCTCTGTCGTTAGACTCGTCACTTCTGCAGACTTGGAGTTGAAATGAGTGGCGATCGTGACGACGGTGTTTGAGAGTTGCGCTTTCTCTCTTTTGTTCTGGGATGTTTTTCATTTTTCTGTGAAAAAAACGGCTACTTTGTCTCACACACACACACACACACACACCTGCAGTTATACGCAAATACAACTAGGCGTATTTTCTTGAGGAAATATTGTATTGTGATTGCTTTGATTTAAAAAAAAAAAAGTGTAAAGAAATCGTCGTGCCCACACGAACTTGCATTGAATTTCGTTACAAAACCACGTGAAATCAGTTAAATTAGTAAGTTATTGATTACATTCAAACATCGTGACATGTATACATATATTTTATTTGGCTCAAAAAGGTCACAGAACATGTTAACGTCCTCAGGCCAAAGGGCTTGTTGTTATAGCGTATTTGCAAAGAAAAGCTTTTCAGTCAAGTTCAGGGCGGGGCGTCCCATACCTGACCCAGTCTTAAGAGCAGAAGCAGGTGCATTGGGGTTTTTAAGTGCGAAGGGTTGCACAGCCCTTTATATACAGAAATCTCCTCCCGCCCTTATATATACAGAGTCATGTACTGTTGCTTCTCTGTCAGACATGAAAAAATACATTTAAGCCTTAAATCTTTTCATTACCCACTCCTCTCTACAGTTTTTACCATTAGACCACGACTGCCACCAGGAGAACTCCTCTGGTCTGTTGTGGCTATGACGTCATTAAGTAATTATACGTCCGACCCCGAGTGTGTAAAAAGTGTTTTTGAGTGGTGAACAGGCCCTGCTATTAGTGCATAGTGATCGAAGGAACAATCGTGCATGTAATGAGAAAAACTTTGATGGTGTTTAGTAGTCCCGCCCACTGTAGGCAGTGATAGAGACAAAGGCAGCACTGTATGAGTATCATAGTTACTGTTTCAGGGCAGAGGATGAAGTGCTTGCTTTGATTCTCTGGGCCACAACGGTCTGAGCCCAGTCCAAATTCAGTCAGTGTGTTCATTCGTCTCCTTAACCACCACTGCTGCTTCTTTAGTGACCACTGCAGGTCCACAGGCATGTCATAGAAATCGTGCGTGAAAACAAAAGTAAAAATTATTTCCTTCAGGTAAAGCTTTAACAAGCTCATATATTCACAGAGGCAAAAAAAAGCCTGCTCTGTCACTTCTTTCTGTCCTCAGCGTGACGCTTGATCGTTAACTCAGAGAGTGTTCGGGAACAAAAGCAGCACACACCCAATCCAGGGTGTCACCGTGTGTTTGTGACAACCCGGAGTCAAAGTCAGCCCATGTGAGCTGTGACCTGCGAGGCCCCGCCTCCCGACTGGCTCCCTGCCAGTCCCAAAGTCCGAGAATCGAACAAGAAGCCTTGCTGTCCTCCGCCGAGCACGCCCAGACTGTCTGTTAAAGTCCCACTGGGCGACGAGCCGAGGAAGGCGCTCTGATGATTGGCTGTGGCAGTGGCGGCCATTTTATCAGGACTGGCGGCGAGGCGCGGCGAAGAGGGAAATGTGTAACCGTACAGGCTGTAGGGCGGCGTGTGGAGGCGGAGGCCGGCATAGCCCTGCGAGGTGGGGTTGGAGAGATAGCCGAGCTGGGAGGCAGGGAGAGGCAGGGAGCAGAATCCTTCGGCTTCGTACGCAGATGGACCTCTGGGTGGGGGGAATGGCTCTGGGGCGTTGCTGTAACGGTGGAGGGGGTGCACCGGCCGGCTACAGGTGTAGTCCGGTGGGCTGAGAGGGCAAACTTGGAAAGGAGATGAGCACGGGGATGTGGAGAGCAGGTGAGGCGATGCTCCAACCGCTGCATGAGTTCCTGGGACTCCTACAAAATAAGAGCAGGATAAATGTTTACAGCCATGGCAACCTGTAGTTATGACCAACCAGTACTCTGAGTGACTGATAAACACTTTCATGGTGTGAATGAGGACGCCCATCACAAACAAAGATTTTGTGTTTAGGTTGGATGGCTTATGTTCACCATCCAGAAGCTTCCTGTTGTTGAACTTTACCTTGCTTGGTCATGCCAGGGATGTCCTCAAATGTGAGTGTTCGCAGGGATGGACGCCAGAATGCATAAGACTCAACCAAAGCCTCCAAACCCATCCTGCAAACGCACACAAACGCACACATTAACACGTCGCCGTGAGCTCTCCCAACCTTCTAATGTCTGATGCAGTGGGAACCTCTCTTTCTCGCTCTAACTCAGCACGCCTCACTAAATCGTGCATTTCGCCAACCACCTGGCGGCCATCTTAGTCGCCTGTGGGGCCCTCCTCGCCATCTCCATGGAGACCGCAGGTAATGAGGGGCATAAACGCCAGGCTTCGATTGGCTGCTGCTGGTTGGGTGCTTGTGTGTAATTGCTTTCACACGGCTTTTACGGGCGAATCAGGACGAAGGAGCAGGAAGCCGCAGCAACGATTTATGAGGTGGGACTCTCCTTCTTCCTCCTCCCCCCCCACCACCCCAAATCTGAGCCTCCATGCTCCTCTAGGTGGGGCGGAGGGTTGCTGTGGCGGGTGGGTAATGCGAGTGCTCTGTTACCCCTCGTTAGCGTGAGGATAAAAGTCTTCCCCCCCGCGGGGTTGTAGCCACGGTGATAATTTAGACAAGCTGCCCGGAGCGGTTCTGTGTGCTCCAAAGCAGCCTATCAGAGCAGAAGTTTATTTAGCAAACTGCTTAACTCTTCCTGTAATATTTAAGAGGAGGGGTTTTTTTCAGCCTTCCTGAGTTTAACTTTTATAGGGTCAGCTGTCAAGGTGCCTGGGTTATCCAGTTTGCCGTTCTCTACCTTCCTCCCTCTCGCACATTCCCTCTGCTTCCCTTCCTCCGGCTCTCCTCTCTAATGATTTCTACGAGGCCTCAGGGGAGTGGCTGTTTGGAGACTGCTAGAGTTTTACTGCTGTGTTGTTTTAATGCTGTGTTTATATATGTTTAGAAATGTGTTTATACAGATTTTCTTCGGGACACTCTTGACTTTTATTATTTTGCTGTTGATGTTTATGTTCCCGAGGCTGGCTGGAATCTGACGCTCCATTTAGGCTCGCAGACAAAGTTACAGCATGTGCCTGTAACAGCGCAATTGCAGGAATTAATTTGCCTTTAAAGTTAGCACATTTGAACGAAAACGAATCACCACTCTAACCGTAGCCACGTCTTTTTTCAGCTTAGTCCATTTTTTTTTCCTTTTTTTTTGCCCTTCAGGACAAAATTTAATGGGAGGCTGTAGCACATTTTCCATTAGGGAAAAAAATAAATAAATAAATACATAGCTTTACTCCCCATAAAATCAGACTAAAATAGCAGTGACAAAAACCACATGCAAGCCAAAATATGAAGCAGTCATGCATCGCTCACTAGCCCTAATGCACCAGATAATGTGCAAATCTCTGCGGTTAAAATGAACTCACCGGTTTCTGCCAGAGTCTCTGAAGCCTTTGGCAAATGGGTTTCTGTCAATTTTCAGCCTTGTAATCTGAAAAAGCAAAATAAGACTCTAATTATTTCCTGAAACTTTGTTATTATGAAATCAAAGATAAGATAAGATGTTTTCTTTCTTGGAAATCTTTCAATCAGGTCTATAAATAAATTCTTGTATGTTTCTTTGCACATTTATGTGACTTTGTGTGGGTTCATGCATGCATACGTGCATGGAGTTAATGTCTGTGAGCCCGTTCAGACTGTGGGTGGTGTTTAAGGCCCAGCTCTGTGACCCTCATCCAAAAGGACTTTTATAGACATCACCACCGTGTTCTGACTTCAGCCATCATGCACTGCAGGCCAGCAAACCTCAGCTAACGTCCTACTTCAAAGCTCACATGGAGCAAACATGTGCAAAAACACAGAAAAGCTGCAGCTTTCCTCACTGAAAACAGAAAATAGAACAATCTTAAGCTATGTGTGACAACGTACGCGAATATCGCTATTATTTCTTAACAGCCCGTCACATAAGCCTTTATTTGGTAAAGTGCTTTAACAGCCTGCAGAGGAGTTTCCAGAGGACTTTATTCTGTTTATTTTGCAGAGCATGTACATGCATAGACATACACGCCTGCTGACAGTTAGAGATGAATCTGCCTTTAAATGCAAAACATATTTAAAACAAAAAATATCCCTGTAAAGCACTTTAAAATAGATTATCGTCTTAAAAAGTGCCAAATAAATACATTTTACTTACTTACTAGGAATTAAAATAGCTTATCTTTACACTGCATGATGAGCTGCACGAATGTATATTAAACTAAATCAATCTCTACTTCACAACCACAACATCCAAAATTACATCATGTGTTTTCAAATTCACAGCACATTGTAGCAGCACACACTGGAAATGTGAGTATTTTGTTATATTTAGTTTACGGGTCTCTACAGAGGAGTTCAGCTACCTGTTGGTTCTGATACGCCGTGACAGTGGTGAACACGGTCTCCGGGAACGAGAAGGTGCGCGTGCCTTCCCCCGCGGGGATGCTCCTCACTGGGGATAACTCTTCTCCACACTCCTTACGGATTACATGGACCCGCGGCTGGTATTTGTGCATGGAGTGCAGAATGATCTGAACCGGGGGAGGAAAACACATTGATTGAGGCTTGGATTATGTAACTGCTATTTTATGTGTTTCATAAAGCATGGCTGGGGAAAATGGACAAGATCTACAGACCTACACTGTAAAAATAAAGAAAGAAAATTAAATAAAACATAAAAATGCAGAACATTAAGTCATGTTCAACTCAGACTAAGAAACTATGAGACTTTTACTATTTCATGAGATGAGACTTTTGAATATTAGATTAGAAATTTACATTTTATATAATAGCTCATTGTGAAATTGAATGTTTTGATTGTAAATAATATGCAGTCATATTATTTGCTACAATAGTAGTACATCATTTCATACAACAGAGCCACAGGTGTGATGTGCTGCTACATACATGTCCTTGGTCATCCAGCTCGTTGTTGGTCAGTTTGAGTTTGTCGAAGCTGATCACCTGACGCATCCACGTCTCTCCTGAGGCCGGGGAGTCCGGATGGATGTATACTCTTGGAGGCACGGGGGAGTCGGCATTCCCCGCTACCATCCACTTGGAGCTGTGATACACGTACCTACACAATTCACACACAAGACAGTGAGTGAGCACGGTTTCTGTCTGAATGAACGTATCATTTACAAAAGATGGACTCGATACTTCAATAACTGATGAATAAATATACAGTAATAAAGAATAAAATGTTTTCTTACAAGGGAGTGAATTTACAAAAGCATAAAACTTTAACACTAAAATCTAAGTTCATATTTTACTCTTTATGACTTTAGGGCCGGACTGGACCCCCCCACCCCCACCCTTCCAGGCCACAGGTTAGACTCCACTACAGGATTAATGCTCTTCTTAAACAAACAGTATTTTCCTTCTGTTTGATCCACGGCGCTTTGACACCGGACGTTCTGAAGTGCGCCAATGCGCACCAAAGTTTACATAATGCATTTGTTCTATAGGCAGATGGACCAGTAACGTGCTATCCGGCATGTTATTCACTTTAAAACGTGGTATCCTATAAACTGAATTTTGAACCTTTGGAATGACACCCACGCGGTTTATATCACGCAAAGACTTGGCTGCACGGATACCGCTGCAATAACACGCCGTTTTCTTCTGCTTTGTAACGACTTTTTCTGGTTTGACCTTCCAGGGTGGAGAGGTTAGGTATCCAAACGGTCCTCTCCAAAAGGGACGACAAAACCGCCGTGACAAAACACCGGTGCCAAGCACCATTTGTGGAAGCAAAGCTGAGGTTGCACAATTGAAAAATCCTGGGTTGTACCAAGAACAGAGTGTATGGAGTCTAAATCAGGACTACATGCTAAAGAAAATTGCTGTGCTGTTCCCATTTATACAGTACACGCGTGTGAGAGTGTATCTTTAAGCTACAGTGCTGTGGGGTACAAATTTCATTCTTTTGGGGACATTTTTCGCGATTCGTTTTTTCGCCTCAAAATCGCTTTTCTGTCATTGGGAATGCGTCGTGTGATTTGACCAAATTCCTTATATTGTGCTTTTTTTCGGACAAAATGGAAATGAATTAGTTTTTTTCGGGGCTGGATGACACAAAACTATTGAACTATTTTACAAATGACGTGTATTATCGCTTAGTATCTCAGCGAGTCCTTTAAATCCTAACAGCACATTTAAAATAATCATATTAACAATTGTTTTTGTTAACATCCAGCATGTTTGCTTCACATTATGCATTAGCCTATTTTGATGTGTTATTATAGCTTAACAGATTATTACGTCTATAAATTGCCTTGGGCTCCATAGTCCTGGCTATTGATAAAGGTGTTACGTTGATCCAACATGTTTAAACAATATGCATTTTTTTTACAAATATTTTCTAGAGTTTTGTTTTTTTATCAGTGCATAAATTCATCCTTTAACTTTTGGCACTGAATATATCCAATATCATGCTCAGTGATTCATCAAAACAGTTGAATATAAGGTTTTAAGGATTAAAACAATTCAATTCGACATCCAATCACAAATCAATAAAAAATCTTACTTTTTTAAAAAGTTACGTGGGACTAGAGAATTACATCACTGCCACACTTAATCTAC